AAATCTCTGTTCTTTAAAAAATATCCAATCTTGGTTATTTTGTTATAGTGGCATAACAGACTGAGAAGGTCTTTGGTTGACACCCAAATATAAGAATTTATTTGAAGACCTGAGGGAGTCACAGAGGAGGTTGTTTTTAAAACCATTTGTGGAGGAGCTAGGGTTGTAGCTCAGTGGTAGAGTGCTTCCCTAATGTGTGAGGCACTGGGTTCGATCCTCAGCACCACATATAAATAAATAAAATAAAAAGGTATTGTGTCCATCTATAACTAAAAAAAAAAAAAAGTTTGTGAAAGCTTAATTATTGCTAAGCCATTTGATCTGACCACTAGAGGAAAGTCTAAGCATGTAGGAAAAAATTTGTTCCTTTATGATATTCTAAGCCCCCAAAAGAGGAATTAGAAGAGCATGGGAGGAGATAGACATTCAGGGAAGGGAGAGTCAGCCACAATTGTACAGGAAGGACATCTTTGAATTTAATGTGCATTTATGGAGTGAGGCTAGTCACACTGCTTGATACTGAGATAATAGGTAGGTCAGAAGCCCAACCCAGAAGAGCTTGAGGAACTCTCAGGGAATTTCTCAGCAAAGTTCCTACGGGACCAGAGAAAAGGGTTCCTCTCAATTAACCATGCCTGGGTCTCTGGAGGACGGTTTCCTGAAGGGTAGGGATGAAACAAGCAAAACCTCAGGTCTCCACATTCCTGAATAGCAAGACAGCCACCATGATAACCTGGGCTCCAGGAGAGGCCCCAGGGCTGAAAATACAAGATAGCTTCACTCTGACTCAACACTGCAGGCCCAGAGACCAGACAGATGGCTCCTCTCTCCTGATCTGTGGCCATCCAGTGACACCAGGACTTCTATTCATCCATAACCTCCCCCCAACACCTTTTCCATCCCTTAGTTGATCCTGAGTGGTGGCCTTCCTGGTCCTGTTTTCTCTGCAATTCTAACTTCCTCACAGCCCCAGTCTCCAAATCCAGGGAAGATACCAGAAAAGTCGCTGCTGAGGCTCTCTCCTTGGCTCTGGGTGAAGAGGGAGACAAGACTGGTTCCTAGCCCTGGCCTTGAGACCAGTTTGGGTTGCTATGGCCAGTGAGCAGAACTTCCCTGTCTTAGGTTCTAGCTTCAAAACACAAAAATCTTTGCAAGAAAGATCATGAAGTAAGGAGATGGACTGCTGTCCCCCTAAAACCAGTGCAGCTGAGAACCTGAAAGATTTAGTCATTTTCTCTGGATAGTGCATATAATTGATCCCTGCAAGAACCCAGCATTTCGAGTCACCTCAAAGGAACCTGGAGTGTGAGTTTCTTTGGCTTAGATACATTTCTGTTTTTGTGGGGAAGGACAGATTTGTCTGGGTTAGGAGGGTGTAAGATAAGACACGAGGAAGTGATGGTTAATTTTATGTCAACTTGACAAGGCTGCAGAATACCCAGATTAAACATCATCTTGGGTGTGCCTGTGAGAATGTCTCTGATGAAATTAGTGTTTGAATGGTGGATTCAGTAAGGTAGATTGTCTTCCCCAATGTGGGTGGGCATCATCCAATCCACTGGGGCCTGGAAAAAAAAAGGTAGAGAAAGGAGGAATTCACCCCCTCTTTTTCCTGCCTCACTCTTCAGCTTGAATGGCTCATCTCATTTTCTCTGACCCTTCACCAGTGACTCCTGATTCTCGGGCTTTTGGACTCAATTATAATTGTCACCCATTTTCCTGGGTCTCTAGCATGCAGATGGCAGACAATGGGACTTCTTGGCTTCTATAACTGCATAAGTAAATTCCATGTAACATACACACCTCCACCCTCCCCCATGTAGCCTTCTGGTTCTGTTTCTCAGGAGAACTCTTGATTAATACAGGGTATCTCACTGAAATGTCAGAGACTCCAAGGATCTCAGCACCACATAAAAATAAAGGCATTGTGTTGTGTCCATCTACACCTAAAAAATAAGTATCTAAAAAATAATACAGAGTGTCTCACTGAAATGTCATAGACTCCAAGGACCTCAGTACCACATAAAAATAAAGGTATTGTGTTGTGTCCATCTACACCTAAAAAATAAATATTAAAAAAAATACAGAGTGTCTCACTGAAATGTCATAAACTCCAAGGATCTCTGATGATTCCATGCTGAGTCCAGAGTAAAAGCCATAAAATTTGTTCTTTACCAGTCCCCAACCTGGGACTGATTTTTCACATTACATTTAATATATATCAGAAAATTTCTGTTGAAATAAGACCTGGACTATGAGAAGAATATGTAAAATGAGTTTTGTGCTTTAGATGAGGGATGGTTTCTAAATACTGTTTGATAACGGAGACTGTATCCTTTTTACCCAATTTAGATTTCCTTAAAATCCATAAAGGTCCTGCCACCAGTTTGGGGATGGCTGAAGGAGCCCCAGGATGAACAGGTTAATGTTTTCATGCTATCTAGGAGGAGACCTGAGTCAGCTTCCGGAAGTCATCTTGGAACAGACACACACAAGAAGATAGACAATAAAACGCACAGTAGAGCAATAAAGTTAGAGCCAGTCACACTTTAAGGAGTCAGCGGAGGGACAAAAAGTCAGCAATGGCAGGGTCCATGTCTGTCATAGGTCCACATCACACCTGCACACATTCTGGCTCCTAGCTTTGAGAGTCACCTTGGAGGGTTCCTCCCTGTTGGTGAAGTCCACTGCTAGATGGGGCAGGAAACCAGACTGTTTCCTTCTGGGACAATTGCAGGTTGCCCCCTCCAACCTAGTTTCTCCAGAATCATACAGGGAACGGGGAGTGGTCTCAGGCTGTGTTTCTGTCCTACCTGTGGATTCTAACTAGTTATCTTGCTTCCCAGAAGTCTCTTGAACTTTCCTGCCTAGAGATGAGGCTGGGAAGAGGAGGACAGTGGGAGCACCTGCTAGCCTGAGCCAGGCTGGAAATCTTTTTGGGATGAGTTGGGCTCACAAAGGCACCTGTTAGTGAGGGGCTGGGCCACCTGCCTTACTCCTAGGAAAGTGGTGGCAGCAGCCCAACTGGCCAGGCTGAACTGAGGCTGGCTTGCTGCTCCTCTCTGCAGTGCTCCCACTCTCTCTCTCTGGGTCCAGGGAGCCATGCTGCCGTGGGAGTGGTAGGAATATGCCTGAAGTAGGGGGTCTCCCCCTTTCCTGTGAGCTCAATTTCCCTTCAAAATCCACAGGAATTTTAATCACCATCAATTTCAGACATCCTAATATCAGGAGGTGACAATCCCTGGTTTCTGGGATGAAATTAGTCCTTTACCAAATAACCAGGCAGGTCCTATCAGTCAGGCAAGGCTGGAGTAGTCTAGAAGGGTCCAGATGGCAGCAGGCAGGACCTGAGGCACCATGTTTCGCCTGCCTTCTTTCACTTCTCTCTGGCTTTGCAGGGACAAACCTGCCTTGGGAGATAGAGTGGCCCACTTTGGTTATTCTGGAGCTTGGAACCAAGGTTTTTTGAGAGAGGAAAGGCCACAAAAGAACTCAGGATGAGAAAGGAGAACTAGGTGTCCTAGGATTGGGCTGCAGAAAGGGGACACATGGTTGAGAAAGGTGGCTTCCATTTGAAACAGACACATAGACCTTGGTTCCCTGTTCAAACTCAGCCATGCAGGAGAAATGGAATCTCAGGTGTGGGTCATTAAAGGTCATCTTGTTTTGCCTCCAGTAGCTAATCTTCCTACAACGTCTCTGCCAAGAATTGGTCCTGGTTCTTTGTGAGCACTGCCAAGGATGGGGACATGCTCTCTCTAGCACAGCCTATCATGAATTGTCACCTTTTCGCGTTCCTCGCAACAAAAAACACTCAGGGTCACTCCAGGGAAACTGGGCTGCATGAAATAACCACACAAGAGACAGAGATACCTTTTTCTTTGGGGTCCTGTGTCGGCTCCTCAGTCTGCAGAAAGAGAGAGAGTGCGCCAGCTGAACCCTTTTATTGAGGAGAAACCATTCAAATGAGGCAGGGGTTAGGTTTCGGGGGTTGAGTCTAGCTTTGTGATATCTGTTGTCAGCAGGTTGAGTGACATCTAGGAAGGCCACACTCAAAGGCAGAACAAGAGAAGGGGACACACAAAGGATGTTTCCATGGAACATTCTATCCCAAACAGGGCAAAGGAGTAATATCACAAAGGAACAGGTGAGCATAGCTCAATCCATGGGGCTACACGCCTGTCTGAAGACACATTTTGCTACTTCGAGGATCGGGGCAATATCCAGGTCACTATGAAAGTGACCAGCAGAGCCTCTCCGATCACAGGAAGGAGTATGCGAATTCACTCTGACTGGCTACCCATATCACATAGCTGGTTTCCTAAGCTCAAGTTGACCATAGTGACAGTTCACACTGCCCATGCAGCTTATCTCCTGTTTGTAAGACAAGACCACTCCTGGCTGTATTTACCCAAATTCCTAACCCTGGAACTGGGTCCAGAGAATTCTGCCCCTGAAGGTGAGGGCCTTGGTTGAGAGCACCAGCTAGCTTCTGGGTACGGAAGCAGGACATTCAGTGATGGTACCGCTCCTACTCCTGTTGGTAGCTAGGTGCCTTCCTTCCTGCTCAGTTCTCTCCCTGGATCCTGATTCTCTCAGGCAATGGTTTGGGCTTATTTCTCTTCCTTGCCTTTGGGTTTCAGGGTCAGGCCTGCCACAGGGTAGGCAAGTGGCTGACTAACTTCCTCTCTTGAGCCCATGGGTGTTCCAGCTGGGGGAATGTTCAAATTCTGGAACCCAGCTCAGTCTTCTTTTTTTTTTTTTAAATATTTATTTTTTAGTTGTAGGTGGACACAATATCTTTATTTCATTTTTTATGTGGTGCTGAGGATCGAACCCAGTGCCTCATGTGTGCTAGCAAGCACTCTGCCATTCACCACCCCCCCTCCCCCGCCCCGCTCAGTCTTAATAAACTAGAGGCCTGGGCTGCAGTTAATGACCAAATTCCAGTTGGGGCACTCTCTAAGTCAGTTCAGTAAGGCTGTCTGAGGGCACTTTGGTAACTTGTGGCATTTTAATCCATATTCTCATTTTGGCTTTGTGACTGCCCTGTAACATAAATAACAGATAACATTTTTGCCCACCCACCTCCTGACACTTGACAGATGAGAAGACTGAAGTACAACAAGGTTTGGGGGGGGAGGCAGCACCAGGTCTAGCGTTGAAGTTTAAGGGCTAAAGTCTCTTGTCTGCTCAATTAAGACTTATTTCTAGGCCTGTTAAGCCCACCCAGTATCCACTCCTGTGTGCCCTCCTTGTCCGTGTGCCAATGTGGCAAGGTCTGGGAGCTAGGCCCTCAGCTCAGCAGGTGTATCTGGCTGCCGGCAGGGGTGAGACACCCGGAAGGCCTCCAAGGCCAGCAGTGTCTTGTTGATGCGGCTGATGGTAGGATAAGGGGTGAGATCCACCTTGAACCTGTGGCAGAGAAACACCTTGTAAGTCAGGGTTTCTAGGGACATGGGGAGACTGCCCTATGGGTAAGTGGGGGAAGCAGAGAGGTAGGGCTGGATGGAGTCCATGGGGCTGGCCAGGGAAGGACAAAGAGGCAGCCCATCATGGGTAGCTCTCTGGGTATGGGTAGGTCTGGTGTAGTATCAGTTGGCATCTCTGTTACCTAGTATTCCTGTCTAAGAAATCATTGAGAACCTATTATGTATAAAGTCCAGTGCTAGACATTTATATATCACAAGCAGGGAATGAGTCACATATTTCATGTCCTTAGTGCCTAGCATGATGCCTTCCAGAGAGGTACCTACTCATGCTCTATGGAAGCGCCTCTGAAGGAAAGCAGAGGTTGACCTTTTTTTTCTGGGCACAGACACCATGTCTAGAGACAACAGGATGTCCGTAAGGTGAACCACCTCCTCCTAAAAGGACGAGCTGTCAATACAGTGTAGTGGGCACGGTAAGGACATTTCATTGATTTCTTCCACCCTGTCTCTCCAAGGCTGAGGGGACTGGTGCGGTGTGGCAGTGGGTGCCTGGTCAGTTGGAGAGGGGTTTGCATTAGATGCTACTTCAGTAGCTGAAGTAGAAGGCCCGACTGGGCAGAACCAGGAGAAGGAAGGGTGGGGGAGCTCTCTTACCTTTCAGCATTTGCCACCTGAGGCGCTAAGCACAGATCAGCCATAGACACCTGAAAGAAGGTCGGGCGGGTTCACATCAGGATGAAAACCTCAGACTTGCTGGGTGTGTTCTATTACTGCACTAGAGGGGTCAGTCCTTGACGTTCCTGTCTGCTTCAGTTTTCCCAGCCATCCCTACCACCCCACTCACCCTATCTCCCCTGGATCTGCCTGGCTCTGTCCCCCAGAATGGCAGCACTTATTCTAGGCCATACTGCAGTTACTCTGTGGGTAGCCAAAGAAAGCTTGAGGGTTTGATGGCTGTTACTGTGCTTGTTAAACCACCTCCACCAGGCGCTTAGTGAGGGGACGCTTAGGAACCGGAACTAGCACAGGTCCAGGGCCTGAGCCTGTGGGAGTCGGGTACCTGAATCCTAGAATCTCAGAATTAGGAGAGAAGGAATCCATCACCTAGCCTAGTCCCTCATCTGTTGCCTGGCCCTTCTCTCCTCTCTGAGGTGTGGTCTTCTGGCTTGGACCCCTCAGTCCTCTTAGCGGGTAGGTCGACTGCTCCCCGCAGGAAGTTCCCTGCCCAGAGCAGGAGGAGATGGATGAGTCCACATGGGAGAGTGAAAACCTGGGGTCAGCATGAGGGAGAGGCTGCTGAGGGCAGGTCTGAGGACACTCACCTGGTCTCCCACACAGTACTTCCCCGCTGTGCTCTGCAGGATCCGCTCCAGAGCTGTGGGGAGGCCACAAGAGCAATCTTACTCTGGGCACAGAGATGGGACATCAGCCTTTTGGGCCTTATCTCCAAAGTTATAAAAATGGGTGGCTGTCTGAGTGACAGGTTGTGGCATGGGTGCTGGAGGGAATGAGGCAGTCAGGACTGGAGAGTTTCTAGGGACAGGCTGGTATTTCCCTGGGCCCCTCAAGTCCAGCTGCCATCTCACTGACCAGATGGGCAAGACCTGCAGCTGGCCAAGGCAGCTGCTCCCACATTAACTGGCTGGCGCTCTGTGGTCTTGGTTTCTTGAATGGGGAAGGAAAAGCAGTAAAGCAGAAGTTGGGCCTGCCTCCCTGGGCCTGCCACCTCCCACACCACTGTCGAGACAGAAGCAGTCTGGCAGCCTGGTTCAGGTGCCCAGGGCCCTGTGCTCCAGGGTTACTTCTCTAAGTGGTCACTTTGGGGCAGCTCACAGGAGTGAGAACTCACCATCAAAGCCAGAAATGATGGCCTTCTGGGCCCAGGGCAGCTGGTTCTCCTGTCCCACTTCCTTCAGGACAGACAGGTTCTGTGTAGCCCAAGAAAAATCTGTGACTGCTTTGGGAGCTGGCTTGGGTCTTCCCCTCAGCCACACCCTGCTCAGAGAAGCTCAGTTCCTATTTGCCCCTGGAGGCAGCCATCCCAGCATACCTTCTCAGGCTGCTCATAGTCTGGAAGCCATGTGACTCTGGCAGAGATGAGCAAGAGTAGGGACAAAGGACACTGCCTTGGTAGTGGCAGGTGTGGCCATAACCTGAGGCCTATGTGTCTTACACCCAGTGCTTCTCTCTCACATGGGCCATGTAAGGAGGGAGAGGGGCTGGGCGGGGGAGGGGCACAGAACTGGCTTCCAGAGATTTTTAACTCTGTACCCCTGGAGCCACTTTACTTCTGGACTTCAGTATCCTCATCTGTAGAACAGAATTCTGTCTGCTGTGATCCCTTTCATTAAAACAGCAAGATGACATGGGAGTGGGGCACAGGTGCACAGAGGTCCTGGCCTTGGTCCCTGTTCTGCTATTATTCGCTGTGTCACTTGGCTGTCACTCCAACTTTCTGGGGCTATTTCCTCACAAAGTCAGGAGTTAGCACAGATGAACAGTTTTATTTACTTATTTATTTTGTGGTAATAGGGATGGAACCCAGGGCCTTGCACATTTTAGTCAGTGCTCTACTACAGAGCTATAGCCCCAGTCCCCCCCCCCCTTTTTAATATACATTTTTAGTTGTAGATGGACATAGTACCTTTTTAAAATTTTTTTTTTAGTTGTAGGTGGACACAATGCCTTTATTTTTATGTGGTGCTGAGGATTGAACCCAGTGCCTCACTATGCTAGGTGAGTGCTCTACCACTAAGCTACAACCCCAGCCTGGACATAATACCTTTATTTCGTTTATTTATTTTTATGTGGTGCTGAGGATCAAACCCAGTACCTCATACATGCAAGGCAAGCGCTCTACTGCAGAGTTCCAGTCTCAGCCCTTAAAAAAAAAAAAAAAAAGTATCTTGCCAAGTTTCATAAGCTGGCCATGAACTTGGGATCTCCATTCTCAGCCTTGTCTTAGCAGCTGGGATTATAGGCATGCACCACCACACTCAGCAGAAAATCAGTTTTAATACTTACTTTTCTGTTTTACCAGTGAAAACTTTAAAAAACAAAAGCAAAAACCTTATGAGAATCCCAGTACAGCATCTTTGGAAATGCTGTGGGCTTGGCTCCAACTTTCTGGGGCTATTTCCTCACAAATTCAAGTGTTAGCACAGATGAACAGTTTTATTTAGTTATTTATTTTGTGGTAATAGGGATGGAACTGCAATAAAGTAAATGTGGCAATAAAGCAAGTCACATTGATGTTTTGGTTTCCCAGTGCTTATAAAAGTTTTGTTTACATGATACTGTAGTCTATTAAGTATGCAGCAGCAGTATGTCTAAAGAATGTACACATCTTAAATTGAAAAATACTTTATTGCTACAAATGCTAACAATTGAATGAGCTGTTAGAAAAATGGCATGGACAGACTTGATCAAAGAATGTTGCCTCAAACCTTCAACTTGTAGGAAAAAAAAAAAACAAATCTGCAGAACTCAAGGAAACCAAGAGCAGTAAAATGAGGTGTGTCTGTGTATGACAGCACAGCTGAGAGGGAGGCTGCTCAGGTTAAAGCCAGAGGCCTGGACCTGAGCCCACCACCCAGCCCCTTCCCCACCTTGAGCCCCTCTAGATGAATCCTTGGAAACTGAGGGCTTCTTGGAACACAGTTCAGTGGAGGATTTCTGGGATTCCTGCCCGTTTCAGCCTTGTGATCTAGGTCAAAGTCCCTGAGAGTCCTTCTCTGTTTTCCTGCTACCCACTTCCAAGCTAGACACCCCACGGTGGGCTCACCAGTCAGTGTGTGAGAGGACCAGCGTGAGAGGTGTGCAAGGGCCTCACCTGCAGGGGCTGGATGCCCGCAGCGATGAGGTCAGAAATCATGCGCACACTGGCCCTCTTCTTTGGGTCCTGAGGCAGGAGTGGTGGAGTGGGCCGAGTTTCCTCCAGGTACTCAATGATGGCCAGCTGTCCAGAGAGGACAAGAGTCAGGGAGAGAACCTGGGACGTCTGGACCAGAGGGTAGAGGGCCCACAAACTCCTTCTCCTTCTCCGATGCCACCACCACTTCCTTTACCTCCTCAGCTAGAGCCCTGGAAAGCTTTTTGGTTTCTCACATGCTCAGCTCTCTCCTCACCTCCCCAACCTCTCTCCCTTTGACAAATGTTTGTCAGGCTCCTATATGTTCTAGGCTCCTTGGACACACAGAAGTGAGAAAGAGACATCATGTCCTCTCATTCAGGATACTGCTCTTGTGATGCGCCTCCCCCAAGCCCTGTACTCACTGACTGGCCAATGGTGATTCCATCAATCTTCAGGGCTGGCACCTGCTTCATGGGATTCAGTGCCTGGAATTCCTCAGAAAACTGTGGAAACAAGGACCCAGTTGGATAGATGGCCTGACTTGAGTTGGCTAGAGCAGGACAAAGCAAGTGGGTAAACCCCAGGCCTGCCATCTGTCCATACCTCCACTTCTCTGGGGAGACCCTAGCTCCCAAGCCCAGGCTAAACCCTGAGGGATCTGTGCATTATCTGAAACCCCAATAGCTCCTGAGCTTTAGGCTTTTCCCCAATGGTCTGACTATGTGACTTTCCCTGCATCTCACACTGTGACTACCAAGGCAGCTCCTACCCTATCCATCCATCCAGGGGACCCAGTATGGGGCAAGGACCCACTTGCCCCCCACAGTCAGGCATTGGAGAATGCAGTTGTAGTATTGAGCCTGCAGCTTGGACCTGTCTTATGGGTCTCTTTTGCTGCACAGCTTGCCATCTTGCCCCATAAGGGACAGCCAACAGCACCTTCCAGCCATAGGGAGCATGTGACATAGTTGTACTTATTGGGGCAGACCCCCTATCTAGTCTCTTCACAGTTTAATTCCCACATTGTGGTCTAGGGGCAGCCTCCTTACCTGTTGCCCCCCATCCTTTGTGAGATGGATGGGCATTATCTCATGGTCAATGCCTTTCAAAGCCAAAGCTAGGAGAGACCACAGATAGGAGAGTCAGGGGATAGTTTCTTGCTACATTATCAAAGAAAGAGCCCTCCAAGGGTAACATGAGGCTGCCAACAGGGAGGTTTCTCCACACTGCTGGATGGCAGAGACACAGCCTGGCACTATCCCCTTCTGTCCAGCTTTCCCTGTTACCACCACTACTGTCCCTGGTGTGTGAGGCTCCACCTTTCTCACCCCTGAACTCTTAGAGCCTCACCCTCTGGACCTTGCAACAAGGCCTTCATGACCCATGGATGGTGCTATGAAGGTGTGTGCCATGGCACCCTGTGGTTTCTGGGGACAGCAGGGATGTGACTTGTTTCTCTCTCCCCTTCTGAGGCTTTAAACAGTGGCAGTGGGGCAGCTTTGTTGGAGACATGCAATCTTCCCTCAAGAGGGCATCTAGGGGCAAAGGGAAGTTGCTCAGAGGACCACACAGAGCACACACAGGCCACTGACGCTTGTTTTCTATTTAGAGAAGAATCTCTTTCCGACCCATTTTCTCTATTCTCATTTACTATAGATTCCAGGATGGCACCAGGCTCTCTGGTGGTCTTGGAACATTTGCAGTGACTCCAGGGGCCAGGTTTCCTTCCATCTGGCAAGGTGGTGGTAAAAACACCAGGGCCAGCCCTAGTGGAGAAGAGTGCAGGCGTGTGTGCGCATGTGTGCTTGGCTATTAAAATATGGTCATGGCTGGTCTCTGGCAAGTGCCAAGGAGCAAGGAGAGGAAGATGTGACATGTGAGGACAGCTTGTGATAGGCCAGGTTCCTTTTTGGTGCTGGTCAGCTCCACTCTGGAGAGTGAAAGTGGCTGAGGTCAAGTGGAGAAGCCAAGCATAAAGGCCCTAAAGAGACAACACTCCTCCTGCTCTGCTTCTGGCTTAGCTAGGCCACAGGCTCGAGGGCCCAGAGAAGGGGACATCTTCATGCAGGAAAAGTTTCTCCTGGCCCCTGGTCCTCCTGCTTACTGACTCCACAGACACTAATCAAGCTGGAATGGGGGCAGAGGCTAGTGTCACACAGTGCTTTGTAGTTAGGGCCAGGCTCTGGGGCCAGGCTGCTTGGGTTCAAAGTTTATCACCTTCATTAGGTAGCCGTACGGCCCTGGGCAAGTAATTTAATGGGCCACTAACAGATGGCTGCTGTTTCCCCATCTGACAAGCAGCATACTGTAGTGGTTAAAAGCAGGGCTTTTGGCTGGGGTGTAGCTCACGGGCTTAGCATGCCCCATGCCCTGGGTGCATCCCCAGCATGAACACCACCAGATGGACTGTGGAGCCAGACTGTGTAGTTCAAATGCCAGCTTGGTTTCTTAGTTGCTGCATGATACAAGTTATTTACCTTCCTGGGCCTCAGTTTCTTTATCTGTACAACAGGGACAATAAATTTCTCCCTCCTACGGGCTTTCAGAATGAAAGGAAATTGTGCACACAAAAGCACTTAGTGCAGAGGCCTTCATCAACAGAGCTGCTATAAGAATGACTTTGGTCAGGGGCTGTGTTAAGCTGGAGGAGGGAGGGGCCAGTGCAGGACTAAGCCAGAGGGCCCTAGTTCTGCTCCCTCCAAGCCACTGATAGCTACATTTAATTTGCCATGTCAAATAAGAACCAGGGAGGCCAGCTGTTCCTCTGCTGGTTACCAGGGACCTCTGGATTTTATCAACCTGTTTTAAGCATGGTTGCTAAGGGGCTTTAGAGGACAGTGTGGGGCAAGCAGCCGTGCCAAGAAGAAAAACAACCTCCTTCCTCCCACCCACAGTGTGTTCTTGTTGGACTTCCTGGGTGGAGGTGTCATTCGGGGAAAGGCATCCAGGAGCCTAGGGACGCTGGTTGCTGGGGGTGAAGTCCTGTCTGACAGAGTACCTCTTCTGTCCCAGGTCAGCTTCGTACCTGAGGCTTCTCCCCCACCCGACCCCCAACAAAGCACTCAGCTCTTACCAATTCGAACTCTCCATGAGCAGGAGCTTCGGAAATAGGAATAGAGGATGGGCTGAGGAGAAAGGACAAGGGTGTGTATTAACCCAGGTTCAAGGGGTTTCCAGCCCCAGGAGAGGGTCTCTTGAGCCACCACTGCTTCTTCCGGTACCACCAGGCCTCCTTCCTGAGGCCTGTGTTTGGGCAACCTAGGGCCGATTTAGAGCTCTCTGGGTCAGAGGCCCTGGGAGTTGTATAAGGTCCCTTGGCTCCCAACTGTGTTGGCATGAATCCCTGAGGTCTGAGTGGCCACCACGGGGACAGCAGCCTTCAGGGGCCTGCCTTACCTTGCCAGACTCTGTCATGGTGCTGTGGTGATCCTTGGCTTTCTAAGGAATGTCCCCTCTCTCAGAGCTGCAGGGCACGGGGAGGAACCCTGAAGGGGCTGGTCCCATGAGCCAATGGGGAAGCTGGGTTAAACAGGCTTCAGGGAACTTTGACTCTGGCCACAAAGGTCATCTCTTTCCAACTTGTGGGAAGTTTATTATGTTCCTGTGGAGCTAGGTTTGGTATTCTGTGCAGAAAATATGGCCTGGCTTTGAGGCAGCAGTTGTGTGGCACAGAGGGCAGGGAGCTGGCATATCTGGGGTCCAGACCCATTGCAGGACCCAGCCCTGTACGACCTTTGGACAAATCCCTTCCTTTTCTAGTCTTCAGTTCCTTTGCCTGTAAAACAAAGAGTCACCCTAAAAGATGGCAGAGATCCCTGCCGGCAGTGGCAAAAAGACCAGGAATTCTAATTTTTTGATGCTTTGGTTTCTATATCCTTTAATCCCCACCCTCCAATCTTTGACTCCCAAATGGCCTTATAAAAATAGCTGGCAGATGTGCCCATTCACCCTAAAGGTGAGGTGGCAACTAGCAGCTCAGAGTTCCCATCTGGACCTCAGATTTTCTGTTGATCTCCAGATAGTTCCTGACTTAACAGTGGTTCAACTTAATGATTTCTCAAATTTACAGTGGTGTAAAAGAGATATGTATTCGGTTTGGACACCATACTTCAAAATTTGGGTTTTGATCTTTTCCAGTCTAGAGATATGCAGTACAATAATTCCTCAAAATGTCAGGTGGCAGCAGTAAGCCACAGCTCTGAGATCACAGACTGATCATGAAGGGGAACAACTGACAATTTACAGAGTATTGTGCTGCCAGCATTTTTTACATATTGTATTTTGACATCCGATCATGTCTACAAAATGCCCATGTGTGGGGCTGGGGGTCAATGGTAGGTGCTTACCTAGCAGGTGCAAGGCCCTGGGTTCAATCCCCAGCCCCCTGGGGTGGGGGTGGATATCCATCTCTGTGTGTAAATGAAACTTTTAGCACTTTATAAATAAAATAAGTCTTTGTGTTAGATGATTTTGCATAACTGTGGGCTTGTGTTCTGCCATGGCTCATGCCTGGCCTATTTTTCTCATTTTTGCTAACTTCAGGCTCCTAAAGAAAACTAAAGTGTGTAGCCTTTCTTCTGAGGTTTAAGAAACTCAAATTTAATTTCCCTGGTGCTTCTTGCATAACCAGCCTTTTAAAGTGGGATCCAAGAAAGAGTAACCAGTGATTAATACTCATGAATCTTCCCATAGACATATTCATATGGCTGAGAGAAAATGGTAAAATTTTTCAGATCACCCGTCTACTACCTCTCAGATTACAGACATTTTACCAAAGTTCCCTCTTCCTTCTGCCACCCCAGTACCCCAAACTTCTATCTGAACCTGCTTTCCTCATCCCTACACTACCAATGCACTCTTCTAGGTGGGCAAGGACACAAGTGGGTACCCAAGCTCTCCCAAAGTGGTTCCCAAGCCCAGGAGTACCAGCCTGTCTTCTAAGTACCTTTTGTGGGTATGGCAAAGATGGTCTTGGCATAGAGAGCAGGTGATAGGCAAAAAGTGTCTTTTGCAAAGAAGCCGGGCAGCCACAATTAGATTTTATTTGGAGATGCATTCCTTTCCTTACCTAGCTAGGCTGGAGGGGCCTCCAGGAACAACAAACAGGGACTGCTGTGAGGGATTAACTACTAGAGAATCAGACTTGAGGTTAGAATCACTGAAGAAATGCCTTACCTAATGACTGAATGTTACACCTTTGACATGTATTAAGGATGGCCAAAGTCACAGTAAATTCCACTGCCCTCCACTATGAGCCATAAGTAGGAAACTTCTGCACTTTCTCTTACTAGTGATAACTATATACAGTAGTACCCCCTTATTGTTTGAGGGATATGTTCCAAGACCTCTACTGTAGCTGGAAGCCACATGTGGTACTAAATCCTATATATACTATGTTTTTTTTTTCTTATACATAAATACATACCTAAGGGTCAGTTATAAATTAGGCACAGTAAGAAATTAACACTGATTATAATGAAATAGAATACTTATAATAGCATTCTGTGATAAAATTCCAACATTGCTACTCTTCAGTTTGGGGGCCATTATTAAGTAAAATAAGCATTATTTAAACAAAGGTACGGCTGAACCTCTGAAGCCTACCTGGTAACCAAGACAGCTAGAAAGTGACCAACAGGCAGGTAGCCTACAAAGCCTGGATATGCAGAACAAAGCAAGGACTCACTACACTACAGGCAGGATGGTGAGATCTCCACACAACATTCAGCAAGGACTGCTATTTAAACTTATGAATTGTTTATTTATGGAATTTTCCACTTTAATATTTTTGGACCACAACTGACCAGATAACAAACCATGGGAAGAGAAAACTGATAAAGGGGTATTACTGTAAATTATTCCTTGTTCATTTTTGCACTTGTACAACTAAATGTTAAGCTCAAGTAGAGTGTCCATTTCACCAGCACTCCAGGAAGAATTCAGGAATTCAAAGATGCCTTCCAATCACTCTGGCAAATTTTTATTTATGTTGCGGTACTACAGATCCTACGCAAGGCCTCATACACGCTAGGTGAGTGCTGTTACACCCTCAGCTGTTTTAAAGCCATCTCTTACACATGGTTTTTAAAGACTCCTAAATTTCCATTTGGGAGCGGGAGGGCTCCACATTATCAACGTGACGTAACGTCCCAGCTGATGGGCCACCTTCCCTAAGGAGCTGTAACAGCAGTTCTCAAACTTCAGAGCCCTCAAGACTCACGTGAGTCGCTTATAAAACATATTCTCAGCCCGTTTTATCAGAAGGTGATATGGGGGGTCTATGAAGGCTCGGGGGAAATGCAGGTTAAACCTGGGAAGCTCCCCAAACTATGAAGGCTTCAGGTGCCACCGCTCCCCTCTCCCTTGGTGCTCTTAAAATGCAAACTTTCCTTGAAGGCCATCAGTCAATTGTTAGGATGACCAGCCGAGAGAGGAACACGCAGAAAGCGTGGAACGGGGAAACGAGGGTCGACCTTTGGAAGCCCTAGAAGAGGTCCGCGTAGTTAGGGACAAGGAGGACGAGAACAGAAAGCGGTGTGAGTGGACTCCGCCGCGCAGGCTCCTCCAGGAGCGCCTCCACCAGCCCTAACTTGTCTGGCCCAATGGCCTAGCGGGCAGCGCGCAGGCGCAGAGAGTGTCGGCGCAACGAAAGGCTCGCCGGGAGTCGTTGTGGGAGCCATGGGCGGGGCAAAGAGGCGCACCCTTGGCCTCGCCCCCAGCTTTAATCCACGTTTACTAATTAGACGACCCGCTCCCCCAGAGCTTGGCACAGACCTTCCCAGCTTGCATCTCGTACTTCGGGAGACCCCCCTCTTCCAGCTGAGAAAGTTCGCTCCCGGGACCGGCCGACGATTGAGGCGCTGTGAAACCCTTACGAGTTAAACCTTGGCCCTCGTCTGGGTAAAGCGAGGTCGGGCTGGAATGGACTTCCCTGCGGTCTTTGGCTGGCTCCGCCCCGCCGCCCCTCCGCCGCCCCTCCGCCGCCCCTGCTCTTGCTCCCTGTGCTGCTGGGAGTTGCAGTTTCGCGAACAGGTCCCCGTCTTCGCGTCCTCCCATTATGCTCTGCGCCTCTTGCCGCCCCCTAGTGGCCCGGGCGGCCACCACGCTTCCTGCCCCACCCAGAGGCCGGGGCCCTGCATTTCGCTACCAGCGGCGGGAACTACATTTCCCAGGGCACCCCGAGCCGCCCTCTAATGACTCCTCAGCGGGCCGGCTGACAAGACAAAGCGTGCCTCTGGGCCGAAGGGTGATCCTGAGGAGGGGGAGGATGCCGCCGGCCATAGGCGGAGGCCTGGCAGGATCCGAGCTGCGATTCCGGAGGGGCCGCTGCGAGTCCCAGGCTGCTAGGGTCGTGGGTCGGGACGTGGCTGCTGAGGCTGCAGCACGAAACCCCAAACGGCCTGCTAGGGCCTCGCGGCGCTTTAAGGCGGCCGGCCGGTGGGCCCTGCTGGCCCTGGTGACGCTGCTGTCCTTTGCCACACGCTTCCACCGCTTGGACCAGCCAGCGCACATCTGGTGAGTGATGGGAGGGACTCGGCGGGCACCACGGCAACCGGGAGGAGAGACGCCGCCCTCTGATTGGCCCGGGGGTACGGAGGAGGCGGGATTCACAGGAGGATCAGTGGGTCCACTGTGGAGGGAGAACTAGTGGGTTGATTTGCAGCGAGGTACAGTCTGGGTGGAATGGGCTTGCTCCATGGGGGACAGTGGGATCCGAGGAAGCAGTCTTCATTGGTGATGCTGGAATGTTTCACTTCATTCTCAAACTGTAAAGGCGCTCTGACCTTTACAAAGAATTGGAAATTCTTGGTATAGAATTCCCAAGGCCTGAGTTCCTCATTTGCAGGATGTGCAGGCATCAGCAGAAAGGAACATTCGTAACTGGGTACTTAAATCCTGCACAGCAGGGACAATTTGAGTGTCGAGGGGGTGGTGACAAGTATTCTAGGAGGTAGGTCTGGGTTGTCCTTTGAGAAGAGATTTATTTTCTTGAAAGTTTTATTTTGTATGATACAGATGCTGGGTTGTGATATGATCAGATTTCATTAACTAAACTTACAAAGTAATTAGAAGGAGAAGTTTTATATGATCTGAAAAGGGTTGATTTGTCTGGCCAAGTGATAGCATGTTTTCTCAGTATTACTAAAGAGAAAATTAGCAGAGAATGTCAGAAATGTAAGCTACTGACCAAAAAGCCATATAGAAAACTGTTAGGGTTGCCCTACTTTGACATTAATAAATTAGCCATGACACGTTTTTGTTTGGTGACTGCTGGCAGAAGGTGTGATGCTCTTGCTTTAGAGATAAAAGACTATTACAGAAAGTAGGAAGAGTATCAGCATAATGGAGTCAGTTTCCTTTGCTCTCCAGGTCCCACAGGGTGACGCTATGGGCTGCGTAACACCGTGGGTTGCATCAAGGCTAGCAAGCTTGGGGAATCTTCTGTATTATCACAAGCAGTAAGCAAGCCTACTCTTTGTCCAGGAGAGAGATGTTATCTTTTCTTTCCAGATTGTTTGCTGCAAATAAAACCCTGAGAAATGACCCTGTCAAGCACAAGTACAGTCTTGCATTCTTGGTATACCTAGCAAGACTTGTGGGTGCATGAAACATGGATGTGGACTCTTTCCCAATGGTCTTCTCACCCCTCAATTCTACAGTTTCTTGGCTTTTATTAGATTTTCACATAAATATGCAACAGATGACAGAGGCAGGGACCAAATCAAATTTCTTTAATCTGTTTCATACAGCATTCATGGGACTCCAAGAAGCAGGATGAGGCCAGCCTTCAGTATTTACCTCAACTATGGCCTCCAGGGTCCTGGTCTTTCAGCCACCAGTGAATTGATCAGGGGACCATTGAGTCTTATTTTAGACAACTGAGATGTAGTCTAAGGCCTGTCCATTATGATTTGTGTTTAGGAGTTTAAATTGACCTCTAATATTTGTTGTTTCTGTCAATAATGACAGTACCCACTCCTACTAAAAAAAGTCTGACTTCCATGCCCAATGGAAGGACATTTGTGGCTCATTCCTCCTTATCTCCTTAACATACTACCTGGAGGGGCACAGGTCACTCAGTTCAGAACTTTGTTAAATTTTATTTGTATCACCATCAGATTTGATTTAGATCACTATTATGTTGATCTAGTTAAGCCATATGGGAAGTGTCACTAAATAGTTACAGTCTCAGTCATTGTACAAGGCATAACCCAAGGCCCCTAGTATATCAGGGGAAGCATATGATTGGTATCAGATTGACAGAAGGTTGTTCTTTTCTGTGTATTTGCACACATACGAGGAAAGTGTGGATGTCATCAGGCACATCAATAGTCACATCCACATGAGTTTTCCTATTTTCATAGCATGAAACTCAGCCACAGGTCAGATTGTCAGCTTCAGCTGTCACCTGACTCAGGTGGACCATCTGAGTCTTTTTTCCAGGTTTTGTTGCTGGAGTTGGGCACAAAGAGCATCGTTTCACTTCACTTTATATCTCCAGAGATCTAAGGTGTTCCTTCCCTAGCTTCTTGGGTTGTTTATTTCCTACCACTGCCACATAATTTGTGTGTCCCATCACCTTTTTCCCATTTATCCTTTACCAATATCTAGACATTTCTGACATGAGCATTGTTAGAAAATTTAGAAAGACTCATTATATTTTCAACATGGCACATGTGAGCCACTTGAAGAGCAGAGAACTGAACCAAGTGGTCATTATGTTCATGCTCTTCGATGGTGTCACTCCAGCAAGACCATCCAGGTGACTAAACTAGAATTAAGTTTGAATCCTGTAGACCCTTCTCCACCCTCCCCAGCTGATCTGGGGCTTCTCTAAGGAGAAAGACAAACAAATCATGGTCAGGGAAATTTCAGTTTTTCCAAATAGGTTTATATAACTCCACCCCTTTTCCTGATCATTACCCAGTTGGTGACCAAGAGGAGATGAACCTTTCTGAGAAGGACTGCATTAGATGACCAGACTGTACAGGCCAAAAGGAGGTGATGGAGTCATAAATCTCTGAGGAGACTATAAAATGCTTGACAATATCAGATGCCTGTGGATAATAGGGAAAGTGGATTATCTATGAAATATTCCTTGTCTATTGACCCATTGTTGGGTGACCATTGTGTCAAAAAAGCGATCCACTGTCAGACTGTAGATGGTTTGGAAAGCTGAAAACATGACATAGTTTCAAGGCCCACAGAGTCAGATGGCTGGACTAAAACAGCCACATCACTGGACCTGAAGAAGTACCAGCAGCAGTGAGGTACCAGTGATAGTTCCAAGAAGGGAACAAAGTCCAAAGTTCCTGGGGGCAGGCAAGGTCAATGCCCCATGCATTCTGGCTTCCTTCACTGCAAGACAGGCAGGCCAACTTTTGGCAGGAGTGTGGCATGCAAGGGTGGCTTCCAACACCTGTGGTCCTTTATTTTGCGCTCAGTTCATGATGGCAAATACATTTTCACACCCAGTGCATTGATAAATCCAGGTGGCCATGGCTGTAGTTCAGCTGGTGCAGGCTTGATCAACAGCTTGATTGCATAGTCCTGTCAGCATACTGGCCCTGACTGTGGGCACCTGCATGAGTAAATGATCCAGACTGTCCATCAGTAGACAGCTGCAGTTTGCTCCCCGAGTTTTCGGTTTCATGGAGAAATGTCTTTAACCTCTCAGCATTGAGTCTTCCAACTGGTGTATTAAGTTGGCCGTCCAGAGTTGTAACTGGGGCTGAATGATTGCTGCTCCTCAGGGGACATCATCAGCTTTTCACAGCCTAACCATCAGTGAACCAGGCACAAGCATTTTTAAAAAATATTTTTAAAATATATTTTTTTATAACTTTATTTTATTTATTTACTTTTTATGTGGTGCTGAGGATTGAACCCAGTGCCTCATCTGTGCTAGGCAAGCGCTCTGCCACTGAGTACAGCCCCAGCCCTGGAACAAGCATTTTGGGGAACCTCTGTGAATCAAGGGTTACCCTGAGCTAGTAGCCATGCTTTAGGGAGAGGAGTGGGAAATGGTTTCTTTGCCCCTTTAATGTAAAACTGAGGTGCCTCCAGGCTGGCTATCCTCCTGTATGTACCATTTTCATAGGACACAGAGCCCTTCCCTTGTTAGCTTTAAATTCCAAGTGAACCTTCTCCAAAGTAGGAATGTCAAGCCAGAGAGGCCTGGATATCACTTCAAGGAGTTCAGTATGTTAATAGTTGCCCCTTTAAAAACAGATGTACTTGGTGCATTTGTCCAGCAGGTGGTGCTGTTGTCCTGGCGAATCAGTATTCCACCAGCCCGCCAGTCTTTAAAGCTGATTTCCCTTTCCCAGAGTTTTCTTTCTTTCTCCTGGACAACTAGGAGGATGCAGACAGGATCACCTCTCTACACACAGCAGTCCTTGAATGGGATAATCCTCTTTGACACTTGTGGGATCAATATAGTCTATACACTCAACAGTGGATGCCACATTGAAGTGGCACAAAGAGCTTAACCACAAGGTCACTCTAACTTCCTTTCTCTATGGGGAACTCAAGCCCTGTCAGTTGAATTCAGGCACTTCCTCCTACCTCCACCCCGCACCTTGAGGAAATGAGTCTAATAGGCCTGCATCAGGCACCACCCCGAGATTATGCCACTTCCCAGAGTGTAGGGTGCTGGAAATGAGGGGCAGAGAGAGGCTCTTTCCTCCTGGGCCCTTCTTTTCCTCCGTAACCCCTCACATTTTCCTCAGCGTTTTTCCTAGTGTCTGGTGAGCCTTTCCTTAGGTTTAGGGACCCCTTTCTTTTAGTTGCTGCACAACTAACTAGTGGCTGTCCCTGCCGTCCTTAGTGCCTTTGTAAACCCTGCGCCTTGCACCCCCACCTCTTCCTCCAGCCATGGGACTGGCTGGCGGGAGATGTGACTCCTATACAATAGAGCCCTGAGGGCTGGGATGTGGCTCAGGCGGCCTCAGCACCACATACAAACAAAGATGTTGTGTCCGCGGAGAACTAAAAAATAAAAATTAAAATTCTTTCTCTCTCTCCTTCTCTCTCTCTCTCTCTCTCTCTCTCTTTAAAAAAAACAAAACAAAACAAAACAATAGAGCCCTGAATTTGGAGGGCTTCCTGGAGGTCCTCAGCATTCCAGGATGGGTGTGTGGCTTTCTGTTTCCCTCTGGGGTCATGGAAACCTTGGCCCTGCCTTTAATTATCTTACTCTTTAAAGCAGCTGAGGTTGTGGTAGAGGGGGAGGAACCAGACCACATAAAGGGAGAGGGTGACACTGAGCCAGTAAGCAAGGCACATTTACTTTTGGCTTGAGTACACAGCTTGCCCAAGGATCTTCAATATTGTCATTTTAATGGAAGTTCTGTGTTGAATAGCACGACCTTCTGCTGCATCATTTATTGATGCTTTGGAGACTTCTTGACTCAGCAGTCACTTCATATTGCCCTTTGACAGGGCTGCTAGGCTTGTCACTCTACTGTCATGATCACATCTCTTCTTTCTTTTGCCTAGAGGAGACTGAGTAGTAACCCAGAGAGCATTCAGGCACCATCTCAGCCCTGCCTCTCCCCAGTCAGCTTCTTTAGTAAGGGGACAGTGAGGATTCTTACTACTCCCACTGCCCACCACTTGGGCAAGAACATTCGCTACAGGTTCTAGAAGATTTCTCATATTCCTAACTCAGGCCATGATTTTTCAGAAAGGTGTGTGTCTCATTATCCTATGTTTGACCTCCCAAACTGTCAGGGGCTAGGATATTTTTTTAGCTGACTTAAAAACTCACAAGTTAATCTGTCACTGTTATCTGGATGTTGGCAGAGGTCAAAGTCCTGGATCAGAGGCAAAGAACTTTATTTCTCATGGCACAGCAAGCAGAACGAGTGAGCATCAGCATGTTGGCCTCGACCCCACCCCCCAGAGTCCCATGTGGTGCCATGCGTGTGGATGAGTGCTTGCTGTGTGGTGGCTGCACCCACCTGGCGAACATTACTGAGCTGGGGAATCCCCTGTTTTACAGCAGGCAGTAAGCAGGCTGCTCTCTGTCCCAGAGGAGAGCTTAGTGCTTCCCCAGGGTTGCTTGCTGTCAATATAAACCAGGAGAAATGACCTGGGTACTGATGGGTCAGGGCCTTGCCTTCTCAGTATATCCTGCGAGGCCTGTAGGAGCATGACAGTTATGGAGAACTGTCTCTCCCAGCACAAGCAGTGAAAGAAAGCCAAGAGGCAATGTGGATGTTACTGCTGATTTTGTTGGCAAGCTTCTAAAGTAAAAGTCTCATGCCCCTTTGTCAGTCTGTTCCCAAAGCAGCTTCAAACCACAGGCAGGGCGTGGTGGCACACACCTGTAATCCCAAGAACTCTAGAGGCTGAGGCAGGAGGATTGCAAGTGCAAAGCCAGCCTCAGCAATTTAGTGAAGCCCAGAGCAACTTAGTGAGACCCTGTCTCAAAAATAAAAAATAAAGTAACATAAATAGTCTGGGGATGTGGCTCAGTGGTTAAGTGCTCCTACGTTCAATCCCTGGTACCAAAAAAAGAAAGAAAGAAACAGTACCTGGGATGTGTGATAGCTTCCAGTCCACAGGTTTCTTTCACATGCATTATCTGAGTTGAGTCTTCATAGCTCCCTGGGAGTGTGGGGCATGGTGGTACTGAGGGAGGAAAGAGGGCTGGAGCGAGTGGGTGATCTTGTTACACCATTAGTCAGTGTTGGAGCTGTGGCTGCATCTCTCTCTTCTCTTTGCGAATCTGTTTTGTTACACTGCTCAGAGTGTTTTCTGCCTCCTCCCACTGTCTCTGGCAGGATCCCCCCCCACCCCCATTTTGGGAGTTGAGTCCAGGGTGCTTTACCACTGAGCTACATCCTCAGCCCTTTACTTTTTTATTTTGAGACAGGGCCTCACTAGGTTGCTTAAAGCCTCCCTGACTTGCTGAGACTTGAACTCATGGTTCTTCTGCCTTGGCCTCTGGAGTGACTATGTCACTGTCCTCACCTGATGTCAGCGTACTTAGCAGAAGCATGTGTACGCCCTTTCCATTTACTGGGTGGGCCTACTGAGTTAAAAAAAAAAAAAAAAAAAAAAATATATATATATATATATATA